GTTAATGTTTTGTATATTATTATGATGAAGTGTTGTAAAACATTGAACAAAAGAGCCACCACCAACTAAAGCGATTAAAGAGTCGCGAGCGCAAGATAAAATTGTAAAAAAATGTTCAAACTTGAATTGACTACAAAGAAATAAGCAGACCAGTGCTCAAAGTGTACAATACCGTTACAGGAGTGTCTAACTAGATTGATTTAATAAATCACTAAGTAACTACTCTATAAAAATGGATGTATCAATTAAACAACCCTATAAATTTGACGATGTTAAGGTTATGTATGTACTAACCCTGTAAATATTGCGATTTCATTATTTGCATGCGTCTATAATTTGAAATTTATTATTTCCTCTGCAATTGCTTGATTTTAGACCAATTAATACATAATTAGTATTTACCCGTTAGTTATCAATTACAATATCATGAAGGCCCGTACTTTTGCATAAATACCAATACAAAACGTATACTTATAACAAAACAGGTATTGCTTATTTTAAACCAAATAAGGGCCAAGTTGATCGAATATTCAAGATAATATTGTAGGTAGTTCACTTCACGATCATGCCATTCACGACTTGATTTAATGTAAATCAAAAGCAGGCCTTAATAATATTGTGTATGTAAGCATTTTACTATGAACACTTTTAGGATCGATCAAAACGAATCCAGGTAATTAAGAACTTAAACTGGAAAATTGGAGGTGCAGTTATGTATGATGAAGTTCAGGATTACAATTTTAATATTACGAGACTTTTAACTATACATTTTGGGTTCGTTCGTTCGTTTCAGCCGAAAGACGTTTTTGGGTACTTTTTCTTAATTTTCCAGCAATTACCACTTAATAACAATGAAATTAAGGAATTAGTAAAAATCACAGGAATTCGCTTTATCTCAAGATCTGATTTCATGAATTTTNTTTTGACGCGTTAAATGGGACCAGGTTGGCATCGCCCCAATCAGAGACATCCTGAAGGGCCAAATTTAAGCGTTCAATTAGGGACTCACGACAAGACTCGACCTCACGCCTGTCGGCTTTTGCGTTGGATATATATTTAATCATAATTAGGCCAAAATCACAGTCAATGATTTCCATCAGCTACTCGTATAACATGAATTGCAACTATTTTAATAAGTAATTAACTAATTATCAACCCCTAGATTCGATCTGAATCATTGACCATGATTTTCTTCACGTCAAGTTAACACAATCTCTGTCAGAGTCCTAATTCTTTGATGAGATATTCGAGTCCTACCTAACAAGAATCTTGGATGAGTTAATCTTTACATCATCATTAACATCTTAATTGGTTCCGTTTCTAATAAAACAGTTCCCATGATCAGCAAATCATCATCTCATCCGCTAACCTCGGTTTAGTAAACAGAAAGTGGTGAAATCCACCGGCATTTATGTTCAAACATGTTAATTACTATTGCCTTGCAATTTCCAATGCATTGGTGAGTCATTGTTACGTAACACACCATGAAATTTTGCCGGTGACATATTTGAATGGGAGTTTTATGAGTCGTTTGAATTGGAAATTATTTTCTGCTCACTGGAAAATTTTCAATCTTTATCGGTGTTATTTGGTAGAGATTGAGGATTGTGGTATACTGTATACCGTATACAAAAGATGTAACTTGGTGACAAAGATTTAAATTACCAAAAACTTACTTTCAAAAGTTTTCTTCTACTTTGCCTTCTTTATCAAACAAAGCATAACTTCTACTATGTAGAAATTTAGACTTAACGTTTAAAAATTGAATAAGTACCTACACTTAACATCTTGGTAGTTGCTCTACATTTACGTTAATTCTCATGATCATCACTCAAACGAGATTCAAACCCACAACCGTAGCTTGTAGACTAGCTACAAGTCCAATATTCAAAAATTGAAATTAAATTCAAAATTTCTGTATTCTCTTATAAGGCACATTTACAGGGGTTGGGAGTCTCCTTTTAAGTTTAAAAAACCTATATTAAGAGACAAACTACTAGATCAGCCGGCTTTCATACATGTAGTAAATTTGGCGTAAGCGCAGTCAGTTATAAGTCGCCATTTGTTCTTATTAGCGGGAGCGACGACTATTTTCAGCCAGCATTAAGTTTTTTAGTCGTACCCACTGCAAACTGACCTCTGGTAGCCCATTCAGCCGTCGGTGGTGTAGTGTGCGTGGACGGGAAGCAGGGATCTTTTAATGGTTGTCGGGAACCCCCGCACCCGCCGCGGCCGGTCTGACGACTTCGCACCAAGAATGCAGCGGAGTTGCAAGTGGTTTGCTTTCGAAACAGCGTACAGAACTACAGACGTCGCAAAGATTTTGTTATTGCCCATTATTAGGTATTACAAAGCGTTTGTTTTGCGTTTACGATGACAACCGCCGTATATGGTCAGAATGCACCGTTGAAATTTAAATGCGTTTGGCGTTTATGGTTTTGGAAGTTTATGTTCTTGAATATAATGCAAAGGTTGTGGAAACTGAAATTAACGGTAAGTGAGTAGTAAAACATTTTGTGTAATACTTTAAAATTACTTAGGACTGATTTACTCCATGAATGAAAATCGATCAGGGATGATACCTGTAACTTACTTCCTCCTAAATATAATTCCATATTTTTACATAAAAGAAATTGATACAAAAAGCCCAAACACAACCTTATAAAACCTACTAAATCTACAAGAATGCAAGAACTATAGCAGGTAGATGATGTGCAACAGGTAGCAAGCTCTAAACATAATCCACAACTTCCTAGAAACTGTAGATAATTTAGCAAAGGGTAGGACAGTTAACTTAGACCCATCCGGCCCTGCCGAGCGCAAATTACACGGCTGCAACTTATGACGGAACATTAGAAATACATTATCAGGAAACTATATTTTAGACTTATTAGATTACTTAAAACTTATAAAAGCTCACCTATTTAAAGTGTCACAATTCTTAAACCAGAACTGCAATATAAATGTCACAAATAACTATTGTTAGCACCATTAAAGCACCGTTCACTAAAGTGTGATAGTTTCGCACTAAAATGTTTCTCGGTCTTCAAAAAAGAGGAGTCCAGTGAGCGGCGCGGTGCGTTCGATCCGAACCGGCCGAGACGCGCTCTCACTGCGCTAGCTCGGCGTGCACTAACTCAAGCAAGGACCGAGGCCGCACACTATCTCCTCGAATAACTTAAAGCTCCTGATAACGCACACCGAGCCATCATCTCGATATTGCGACCTAAGAAAATAAACCTTAAAATTCGCCGCTCGTATTGAAAATTTCAAACTTATTTTTAGTATGAGCGACCGTCGTTTTTTTGCCGCGGACGCGCGGTCGCCAGGCATGCGGTCGATTGATACAATCATGGCGAAAAGTAAAATGGTTCTTAATAAACGACGCACCGCAAGTGCTCTAACTTAACCTTTTTATCGGGAGCTTTAGCTCGGCGGTGAGTTTAAATAAAGTGGTTTCTAAATATAAAACGCCGTATCTCGACACACCATTGGCAGGTGCGAGCCTACGCGTCTCGTTTTTTGCGAGCATCTTCCATTTTTTGTAGCGCTTTTTACTATTTTTTCAAGAGACAATTTTATAATTAAAGCTAGTGCGTTTATCGCTGTTTATCGTCGAGAGAAGTTTTACCGAGAAACTGCGGTCGCTGATATCTGTATCTATCCTATCCCACGGGGCTAGTGCTACAAAATAATAATTTGTTTTTGCCCCTCGCGTGCGTCGAGTTTATATTTTACAAACCGTGAACTTTTTTTAGGCGAGAGACGGGTGGAAATTACTCAAACGGAATACGCGGCAACAGACACGACAAGCGCTCTTGTGAATAATTAATGAAAAATAACTGTTCAAAATTATTACATCGAAAACCGATGTGAAGGAATTCCAGTTTGTTTACATTTGCTTTTCGCTACGGTCGATGCTGCACCGTGTCGTGATTGGATCATTTGCCTTTACAAATCGCAAACTATCGGGGAGGGTAATTACTTTTATTCAGGAAAGATTGTGTAAGGAATACCTACTATGAACCTTAGGTAGAAAACGAGAGAATCTTACAAAGATTTCGTGATAAGATTACGTATACATAAATTAATGAGTACTTATGTTAATTCGTGGAGAATTGGGTTGTCCAAGTGTAGAATAATAAAATGGCGGGCACAATTAAAGTTAACGTTCATTATCACCGTCCCACGGCCTGCGCGGGCGCACTTATGAAACGCAGCGAATGCACACTTTTGGGGTTTGTGGCGCAAGCTACAGGAAAAGTTACACAAAAGATGAACAGTGAACACGATTTTATTAGTTAAATATAGCTGTGCGAAGTAGTAAGGTCTACGTGGTTAGCAAGAGGTCTCTTCAAGTTTATAACCCTATGGGTTCAAGTCCCAGGATAGATTTAAAATACTTTATGCATTTTCCCCCAAGATATTTAAGATTTACTCCATCCGATTGTCCGAAAAATACTATTTTTATTTTAATGTCACATATTGGATTGGAAGCTTTTCAAATGATTACATCAGTTAGCAAATTCATCCATCTTATTTATGAAACAACGTCCTCATAAAAAGTTAAAACCAGCTTCCATAAAAAGCTTTATTGATAAAAAATAGAAGAGCTTTTATAACGCGAAAAGCTTACAATTGTACCAAACGAAATGTTTAAGTCATATCACCTTTTATCTAATCTTCTATTATGTCACTAACCTTTATTTGTGTCACCCTCAGATCATAGAAGGGAATAAAGATAACCTACACTGAACTGTCCCACCAAACACATTGACAGGGGGCGGGCGCCACCATCGTTCAACTATATTATAGTTTCCAACATGGTAAGAATCGGAACCAGCGATCCGGTATTGACGGTGGCGCCCCCTGTCAATGACTTTAGATATGAAACGGGGGCGTGGCGCGTCAGCGCGTGACTCCGCGNCCTCTGCGATACGACCAGAAACGAACATCGCTCGCGAAGCCAGGTTAGTCGCGATTCAGTCGTACTGAGGGAATGTTCTCTGATATTTTTTCATAATGCCGAACTGTTGTGTCGTTACGTGCAATAACAGAAGTGAAACGAAGAACTACAAGAACGATGGAGTCACTTACCACGTGTAAGTATTGCAAATCCATTGGTATTTTGCTTATAAATAAAAAAACTAAACATATTTACGAACAAATTCAGTGCCGTTATCGCAATAGTTAGTGATAAAATTTTACACACGTTCTACATTGACGATTTAGTTCAGCAACCACTTTATGTCATGTTTGACTACTGCGCAATGTATTATAATTCTTTCGATATCCACTGTCTTGTGAAAATACCATGGTACGGCCGCATGTGCCGATCGTCGTAAAATAGTGGAGGGCTCGTGTTCTAATGCGGTTTCCTATTATCGATAAATAGAAGTAGATTAATATTTTCTACTTTTTTGTTTATAAATACGGTTTTTTGTGATCCATGACTAAAATTTAATTGCTTAAGTCTGATTTTTAATTCGACGGAATTTTGACAGCTGTCATTTTTGGACAATTTATTCTGATGTATTAAACCTTTTTTGCTTTGAATTTTTAGAATAAAGTTAATAAAAATATGAAATAGAATAACATCAAGTACAACTTAAAAGTATGAATTATTGTTTGTTTTGTGCATTCAATGTACCTACACTAATATTAATTAATGTACATTTTAGAGATTATACAGGGTATTAGGTAAATGGGTATATGAGGCAATGAGCCGACACTAGCCCGTGTTAACTTAAGCATATAAATGGTATGGTGAAGTCAGAAATTTGATATCATCATTTTATTTTTTTAAATTTTAATACAAAATAAAATTTATAAAATCAGATTTGTATGAAAATTAAAATAATTAAAATGATGATATCATTTTTCTGACTTCACCATAATTAAAAATCAGACTTTAAATTATAATAATATAATATTTAGTGAGAATATTTAATTTTTAGAATGTGCACAAATAAGTATACAATGAAGAATGTTCACTAATTTTGTTTTTTAGCTTTCTGTATTCTCTGTTAAAAATAAAAAATACACGTGAAAGAATTATTTCGATACGTCAATTAGTTTCCAAGATATTGAATTTTAAAGTTGCGGGCGGCGGCCGGCCCGCCATTTTATGCGCGTGACGTCATATTATAGCGACTGGCTCCAATTTGTATGGGTGGAATCTTGCAAGCTGAATATAAGACCCACTTCCGGACCACCGATTAAGCTGAAATTTCGCATACACATGTAATTTAGATGACCATGCAATATTATGATGACATGGAGCTGATCTGATGATGGAGCTGGAAGGTGGCCATAGGAACTCCATAATAAAACGACTTAACTCCATCGAGTTTGGGCTCGTTCGTTTTGTATTGACGAGTACTTCAATTCTGTATAGTAATCAGGGTCTGATGATGGAGCTGGAAGGTACTTTGCAATAAAACGACACAATCGCATCAAGTTTGGATTTGGTACAATTTTAATTTCTGTGATGGGTCTGGGTGTTAATATGTATGTATTTACAAAAAAAAATGTATATAAGTATGTTTATATCCGTTTTCTAGTGAGCGGACACTGTGAATGTACGTCACGCGGGGTCACGTGACCGTCGGCGGGACTCGATATTTAAGCGAACTTTGAATGCCTATAAAATCATAACTACTTGGTATTTTTGAATGAAATAAAAACAAATGTATTTGTATATGTAAAAGCTTGAATGTAACAAAGGTTTCAAGTGATTTTGCATACCTAGTAACATTCTCAATTAGTTTGTATGTCACTTGTTCCTAGAATTTAATTTTTGTTTTGTAGTTTGGACATTAAAATAAGCTAACCTAAAGTTATTATGATCAAGGCTCGGGCGCTTGTTAATTTTTAAAACCATTATAGCCCTAAATTATTATTATTATTTATTATTATTAAATAAAATCGTTATCGTTCCTCGAAACCGGTATTCATAACTTTATTTTTCAGAACAAAGATTTCAAGAATTGATTAAACTACTTTGATCTTATTCCAGATTTCCAAAAAAATCGACTTTTAAAGAAAAATGGATGGACGCCACGGGCAGAGGTCCTAACTGGATTCCTGTCCAAAGAAGCGTGATATGTTCGGATCATTTTCAGGAAAAATGTTTTCAACCTCTTAATAAAAGCCGTAGACTTTTCGACTGGGCAATACCTACTTTGAAGATTTGTCATATTGTTTCATCGGTAAGTTTACCATTTATCAGGAGCTAGGAGTGTGCTTATTATTAAACAGTTTTATTTATTATTCTTCAATTATAACAAAGTTAGCTTTCGTATTCTGTAAAAATAAACAAGCAAAGTCATAAGTGAAGTGGCTAGTAAATTGTTGGTTTGTTGGTTTGTTGGTCGCATTGAAGTTGAAGAAATTTTTTTTTTCTGTATCATTGTAATTTTTCCGATTTTATTTACCATAATAAATGTATTAACATATTAAATATTTATATATTACTCTTTCCATTATTTTTGTAATAGGATTAATTACTTATAATATTAATATCGACACTACACTGTTGCAACACTACGCCTCCTCATAGGGCCAATAAGTGTGAAAGAGAGATACGTAACGTACGTAAGCGTTGTCGCAGTCCCACTAATGCCCCATCGGCAGCGTCTTTGTCACACACAAGTCACAACTATAGTCATACGCAGAGAAGCGCTGGACGCAGGCCGCTACCAATCGAACAACATGGAAAGCATTGTGGGAGGCCTGTGCTGATCTCATGGTTTTGAAGTTACAGTTTTGTAACATTTATATTCGTAATTGTTACTTAGGGCATGAAGCTGAATCATTTTAATAAATATATTTTATTACATTTTACATAAATGTATCTGTTACATTTTATTCGTTTCAATATTATACTCTTATGTTTTTAGGATTGTTCAAAGCCTATGTCTACAGGCTCAAAGGCAAATCAGACTCCCGAATCAAACACTGATAATAATTTAGCGAGGAAAAATAACACAGTAAGTTTCGAAGCTTTTTAATAATTTAATAAATATATTTTATTACATTTTACATAAATTTATCTGTTACATTTTATTCGTTTCAATATTATACTCTTATGTTTTTAGGATTGTTCAAAGTCTATGTCTACAGGCTCAAAGGCAAATCAGACTCCCGAATCAAACACTGATAATAATTTAGCGAGGAATAATATCACAGTAAGTTTTGAAGCTTTTTAATCAATTTTTTAACGAATAAATTGACGGCATTTCAAATAAGTAGTTATTAATAAAAAAGAAAAGCATTTGATAGTCATACACTTCTAATTACTTTACTAAGTTATGCGTTTTTTAGATTTTGAATTTACTTATTTTGTTTCAGCCGGACTTCACTTTCGTGACTTGCGATGATCAGGTACCATTTTAAACCTAGTTTTTATGTAGGTATGGTAGAAGTATAATTATGCTCTTTGACGACTTTGTGTAACTTATTAAAGCATTTTTCAGAGATTAATATTTTCGATGTAGAAAGTAGAACCTAAGGTTCTGTTGAGTTTGTTTTTATTGCGTTCAACTGTACACTTAAGTATTGTTGAATGTTTGAATTCATTACGGCTCTACTTGAGGCCCAAGTAAGGTAACTTGGACTTAATTAAGGATGAGGGAGATAAAATATATGAAAAATGGGCTTAAACTTGACAAAATGTATTTATTAACTTTTAGCAACTCGTAACCAAATACAGAACAACCGCCATGACAGTTAGAGAGAGAAGACGATATCTCTGTCTCACTCGCACCTAGACCATATTACATTGCACATTATTAACTTTTCATAACAGAGGGGGAATAAAGGTAAAGGGAAGCACAAAAGATCTGTCCCCAAACGATTTTACTCACTCGGAAATAAAACTAAAGTTCGTATTTTATTATATTACGATTTTAGTCTTTGAGACACCATACCATAATTTGTTGGTGATATGTATTTGATGCCTCTGACTGCATTTTATGTTTTAGTTCATTTTTACGCAGTTGGGTTTTTTGTTTATTCAATCATTATTTTAATAATTCAGTTTGTTAGAGTTGCGTAGGTATTTATTAATTGTTTTGTTTCAGCAACCGGACGATACTAGCGATATTTTTGAGACAGCCCTAAGATTTGAAATGCGACTGAAAATTGAAAAATATGAAAGCGTGATAAATAAACAGAGGACTAAAATTAGGACGCTTCAGAAGAAAAACCTCCGCTACCAGAAACGAATATCAGAACTTGAAGATAAAATGAAGAAACTCAATGAAAAAAAAGCAAAGAAATCCCTTCTATGATCCGAGGTGTCACCAAAGAATTTGACTGTCAAATATGCGGTGAACTTTCCAACCAACAATAATTAGTGCTTCAAATTATTCCAAACAACACCTAATTGTTACTAGACACGTGCAATTATGCTAAATAATTACATACATAAACAAACTTTTTAATATTTTATTGGTGCCTGTTTTATTAAAGTAGAATTAAATTAAATAGGTAAGGTAAGTTTAATAAGTCCTTTTAAAACATCATCTTACAAAGTTGACAGTTATTCAAACAAAAGAACGCAGACATTCCATTTCTGAACCACTTCAACCGCTTCGCCTCAAATTTTGACAGTTCATGCACAGTGGTTGCGCACAATCATCTCTCCGACAAAGAAAAGAAGAAAGGCAATATAGCGATATCAAAAGAAAGCTAGACTACCGTGACAGTTTCCACGACACATCGGGGTCAGCCATTGTGGCAAGCTCATTGTGAACTCTTTAATTGCACGCATTCAATTAAATTGGTGCTAATTTGAGCATTATAGCCGAGTAAGTTATTATAACAAAAAGTAGAAAACATAAGAAAATCACAGTAGTCTTGTAAGTTTACTTACATTTAAGGCTTTTTAGGTTTATGTAAAGTTCGGTTGATGCAGTATTATCTTTAAGGTACTTAATATACGAGTGTATAAACATGCCAAAAGGTAAGTAGTGGTACTACGAATAATAGAGTCTAAAATAAGCCGCGGATAGACATTCAACTTAGGACAGACAAAGGGCTTCTCAAACAGTTTCTTAATATTTTACCAGTGAACCCAGAAAACATAATACTTAATATTATCTTTCTAAGATTTCTTAACAGTTTTCTGTTTTAGTTTTATTAATTTTCAAAGTTGTCTCTACTATTCAGCAAAGCACCAAAGACCAAACAGAGCATTTTCCTGTTTATTTGATTACAGATTCTATGATTACAGACCATTATTCTCCCTAAGAGAAATGATTTAGGTATTGACCACTGCATGACGTAGATCGATCGCTTCCCCGACGACGGTAAGCGGCTAATGATCGTTATCGTATCGATCGTGGTGGGGATTTATTCTGGTTCTGGGTCGTAAATTATGTGGCTACTAGACCACTGTGGGTGTTGGGCCAACTTATTGCGGCCCTCCGGTTTAGCACTCTGGAAGAATTTTTAAAAATGTTGACAAAAAAAGGTTAGACCATTTACTTTAGAATAAGTAGTAGAGTCTACATTTATTTCGTGTGTTAGTCTTAAGGAATTTATATTTGTTGAATGAGAGTCAATTATTGGTTAAATGGGAAGGAATGCCTCAAGGCACTAGGACCGCCAGTTATTTCTTTTAATGGGAAATAATTAAGAATATCTCACAGTCAAAGCTAATAGGTAATGTTGTTAAATTAATTGCATAACAAATTTTATTACTCAAGATATCAAAAAATAATTCATTACGTACAATACTGGTCAACCTGTGTTACGATATCAAAATTCGTGCTGATAATAATTGTACTCGCAGTAAGTTAGTAATTGCAGATTTTTATCCTTTGAACTGAAAGCGCTGTCATAACATACCTATTACATGTATAAAATTACGTCAATTATTCACCTCTAGACATATTTCACATCAGTTAGATCATTAACTTTACATAATTTTAATCAAGTTTATAAAACCATAAATCATGTCGAGTTGAATCAACTAATCATTCCAAATACCGTTCCAAATCACATAAACTTACCGAAGACCAATTCAAATATTGGTTCACGTACGAAAACGGTTATGGATAATGTTTATTTGATTTGAAAAACACCTCAGCACATAGAATCTTGAACGTTTGGGTCTACAACACAAGTTTTTATGATCCAGTATCATAAAAAATATCACCACGTGTACAGACAATCATCAAGGTAAACAAAGCTATTTTGCAATTTATAGTTTGATGTGCTCTCGTCTGCACATTGTAATTTGAGATCGATTAAAATGGATCATGCTATTATTTAAAATTAGAATTTCCAGTGTACATGTTCAATTAAACATCTTTGCAGATGATATTACATTCGCTGATGTGCGCACACGCAACGACATCAGCAGGTGAGCCTATAATAATTCAAAAAAGCTCTAATGTAATACCAACATTATAAAATTACGAAATTTCATTGCACTAATGACGTCGAACTGATGCTTCGTGCGTTCTCTTTACGTTATAGCGACGCATAATGAAATAATAACCTGACCTAAGCCTCACAAATTAGGGTATTTATCATCGCAGAAATATTTCTTGGAACTGCTCCTAATACGAGGGAACACGTATTGGATAACGAGCATGGTAATGTGATACCAAGAAACAGTTTTGCCACGTTCGAATCGCACAACTACACTCAACATCAAATAAACCGCACCTTCCGCGACGCGAACTTTAAAGATTTTCTTTTGACACTATTATGGTACCCCAACAATATTGGTGTTATTTGTAAGCTCAATAAATATCCTTAAAGAAAAATACATTTCATTTCTAAATAAATGATTAACATATACCATAAATGTGACTTGAAAATAGACCGCACTTTGGGCTCACCTCTGGGATTAATTAGACCAATTTTTATGGTTATAAAACCAAATAAATATCTCACGCACGTGTTCTCTTTAACAGATGGATAGCGATTAATCCCAACTTAACAGTTTTATAGTCATAAAAAATGGCTATAGCGTAACTACCTATTTTTTGAAGAAGTGACTCTGGATCCTTGTAAAGACACATTTTTAAAACCTTTCCTTTAATGAAATGAAGTTTAGAACTAGGCTTTCAAATGGTACCAATGTTGATGGGAAGTGGGCATACGTTTGATAAGTGCTTGTCGCGGGAGGTGCGATTTATTTGATGCCGAGTGTACATTATTTCAGCTAATTTGTTTTCTCGGTCTGTTGGTTTAAGTCGTTTAGATAATAAACTTTGTAAGTTTTATATGTATAGTTAATAGCGGCTCATTTAATTTTGTGTGCTTGGAAAGAGCTGATTTTTTATATTTGAGATTTTCCAATAGTCAATTGGGAGATAAATCTACGGTTTTTTTTGCCACTTGTCGACAATTAAAGTTACGTTCTTGCTTAAAATACTACTAAAGTTACTATTTAACCACTACCCTATGCCTTTGATGCCCCTACACGATGAATGGACGAGCTTAAATTAAGGGGAGTAAGTAAATAAAAAAAATCGTGCTTTGGGACGCTCTTTAGGGAAAGCTCTTTATGTCCAGGAGCAGTGAATTGACATTAGCTGAAATATGATGATGAAGGGACCATCCCTCGCTCCTGTTACTCCATTGTATTTATTTGTAGTAGGTAGGTATACCATTAACAAATTATAAGTAAAATACAAAAATTACAAAATCATTATTCTTTGAACAAAACAGATACAAAATACATTGTTCTAACCCTGCAGATCATCGAAACGTTTCAAGTAGGCAGATCCGAGTAGTTGCGCACAAAATTGCCGCTTAGATCTCGGAAACGGCGATCGGCGCGTACGCACGGCACAAAGGAGCGGGCTGGACGCACAAACTATTGTACATCCTCACGGAATATATTGCCGGGGCACGCTTACGGGAGGCGTGGTTCTAGCACAGCACAGGTGAGCATTTTGCCGCTGCGTTTTTGTGAGATAATAATTTCGAGATTTCTGCTGCTTCCGCTTTGTGATATAATTTTAGATAAGGGATTAACTGTTTAACCCTTTTAAACTATAAAAAACCTTATAAAAACGCTTTTTATTTAAAAGTTAACCAGACATAGACTTCTAGTGTACTAGAAAATTCTTATTGCTTTAATAATATAGCATTTGAAGTGTCACACGCATACGGCATAAATAATTTGCCTTAGCCGTGCAGTGGTTTTCAGGTACTATTTTATTCAATGTTCATTCTTAACTAGGTACCAAAAGAATTAGATCCTGGCCATAATTTTAAATTCAAAGACCGCAAAAGGTAAACACCACTAAACTAAAAAACGATTAGCAATGTTCATGTTAACTACAGCAGTTAGCAAAACGGTTTTAATAGGCTCTACGCATCAAATTCAGCTGAATGCGACCCAGCGAGTCCGTGTGTGTGGTTGCAAGTCAGAGCCTATATTATTAAATAGACCATATCTTGCAATCTGTCGGTCCTGAATGGATAATAACGCAGGTCCAGTCGGCTTTTCTAACGCGAACGCGAGTCCGCCCCTGGCCTGCTAGCCAACGAGGATTTGAACCAGGGATGTTATGGATATCCGTAACCGAAACGGAAACTTTCGGATATCCGAAATAAAAAACTATCCGTAACCGTAACCGGTTCAAAAGTTTCGGCTAGTTTCGGATGTAGGCAGTTTAAATTATTTTTTGTATAGCCATTATAAGTAAAGGCATCAGCCTGATTTACCTTTATAATGCCATCTAGTATAAATTTTAATTTTTTTATTTCTTTTTATTCGATGTAAAGTGTGCGGCCATGAATGAACCGTGTTGGACAACTATTGCATGTTGCATTCTAGTGCACAGATATCCGTAACCGAAACTTTCGGATATCCGAAATAAAAAAAATCAGTAACCGTAAGCGAAACCGGTAGGTATTTAATATTATTCCTATATCCGTAACCGTATCCATAACCGAAACTACATATCCGTAACATCCCTAATTTGAACCCGGAGCTTTAACTTTAACTCTAATTGCTTACATGTTTTTGCGATTCGCCTCAATTCACGACTCGTACGCCAATGGGCGCACAGTAAAAAGTTTTATTGGAACAGGATTAGTTTAGGTCCAGGTTTAATTATATTTGATGGGAGGAAAAGACTGCTTTTAAAACGGAATTAAAGTGAGTTGAGATTAAAATTTAATAAAAATATACTAACTGGATGCATGCATATCAAGCTATTATTTTTATTGCACCATTCATGAAGTTTTATGAATGAAGTAGGTGTTGAATTAAACGAAAGATTTTATTGTAGACTGATGCCCGTTTTCACCATCAATAACTAATTTTTAAGTGACCCCTATGGTAATACATAACAGGCAATTTGTTTTCATAGGGGTCACTTAAAAATTAAGGATTGATGGTGAAAACGGGCGTGAGTCATTTTTAATAGCATCCGTGGCATTACCCGAAGATTAAAAGTACTTCAGCTAGATCATACTTTTTCACTTAACAA